CACAATTTCCACTGGAATCATATCAAACTCATAGATTAATTTGTGGAAGAGTTGACACTTTTAAAACTCCTTTGGACCATCATCAAGGAACCTGGCATAGCCCAAATGTAGTGGCTCAGTTAATTAGAGCATTTTCTATGTTGTTTTTTTCCCCAGTAGCCTGTCTCTACTCTCCTCTCTTCCTCTGATTTTCAGACAGCTATCTTCTTCCAGTCTGAGAGTTCACAGAAGTGATAAACTCTTCCACAAATGGCTTAACATCCCCACAAGTACCTGCCTTTTAAAGGTGTATACAGACAGAAAAGAGGAGAAAAGTATCAATGCAATTAAAGAACTGGGTGGGTGAAATTGTAAAATTCTAAACCAAGATGGAAATAATGGAGTGGGAAGGAGAGTAAGACAAGTGGAGGACTTCTGGCATCTCTAAGATGCTATAACTAGGGAAACGGGTCATGTTGCTTTATACACACGGCAGATTCATAGTCTTGCTCACTGAGGCTTCTCAGATACAGGTGCTCCAGGGAAGATGAGAGGCTGGGGACATAAGAATTGCCTCCCTGTGCAGTGCTGACCTGGCACATTAGTGTCAAATTTACTAGTGAGCTACCGTGGCTCTTAGGCAAACGTGAAAGAATACTACCACCCAAATAGGTTGGTTTTATTCTTTCAACAGTTAGGTAATTTCATTGGCATATAAGCTCCATGGAGATGAATGAAGAATACTGGGCATTTTCTCCATCATTCTATCTGTTTTTTACTATATGATCATAGCCAATCAGCATAAATGAATATTCTGAAGATGATGACTATGGTGGGCAGAACAATGTCTGTTCCCTCCCCCCACCTCCTCCTCCACCACCATACATACACACCAAAGATGTCTATTTCTTAATTCCCAATAACTTGCAAAAGGTATTTTGCAGATGTGATTAAGGCTCTTGAGATAGGAAGATTATTCTGGATTTATTCATGTTAGATCCATGTAATCACAAAAATATTACAAAGGAAAGAGGAAGACAAAGGAGTCATAGTCAAAGAAGATATGAGGATGAAATTATGCAATTACTGGCTACCAAGAAATGTTGGAAGCCTCTAGAAGCTAAAAAAATAAAACAACAGAAAAACAAAAACAAGGAATTTTCTCCTAGAGTTTCGAGGAGGAAGACAACTTGACTGACAATTTGATTTCACCCCTCTAAGACCCATTTTGGACTTTTAACCCCCAGAAATAGAAAACAATAATTTTGTTCTGTTTTAAGGCATGATTTTGTGGTAATTTGTTACCACCAATAGGAAACTCATACAATGACAATATTCAGGAGTGCAGTAGCCATCCGGGTGTAACTGCTGGTTGATAATTCTAAACCTGAGACCCAGGATTCCTCAATATGAATACTAGATCTGCTCAAAACCTAGTTGGTTTTTGTTTGGGGTTCAACTCCCACCCCACCCCCCACACCCCCTCAAAAAAAAATTCAAGGTTCAATAACAGACAACACTTATACATCACAATGGAACTGGCCCAGCTTGGGAACTTTGTCAATGACCCTGGTTGGACTCTCACTAATTCCCTGGTGCCTGAGCTGGAGTCCAGGCCCTGGAGAGGTTCTCTCCACCAGGATGAGTCTTTCTTCTGTGCTGCCCCCTAATAATTCGGGTGTGGTCAGTGACATCCCTGAGAGCTATCCTGAGCTCCTTGAGTCACCAGTCATCTGGGTTTAGTGACTGCCATTCTTTGGAGAATACAGAATACTGTTGAGTTATATTTAAAGGAAGGGTGCACAAAGGTAAGAGTCTAGGCAGAGAGAGAAAGATTGATGGGGAAGGAAAGTAAGGAGGGGACTGGCTTGAGGCTATTTCTACTGCCAATGCCAGACAAAGATAGGTGGCATTTTGTGCTCCTGAGCTGATGACTGCCACCCAAATTCCACCCTTAGTGAGCCCAGCAGCAATGCAATGACACGATGTGTGCAGAGCACACGAATCAGAATATAAAAATGAAATTTAGCATGTCATTTACTTTGAAAATTAAATTCTTGAACCACGTGGGTCTTACTTTACTTTCAGACATTTTAGTTATTTTACCCCTTTTCTTCACGATAGACCAGGGCGTCAGAAAATGTCTGGTTCTTTTTCAAACTTCTTGCTCCTCTGGAAAATGAAAATATTGCAAATACTGAACATCATACACCTTGTCCTGGGCTGGAGAACCTGCAACCAAGGTATGCGCCCTCGACTGGAATCGAACCCAGAACCCTTCAGTCTGCTGGCCAACGCTCTATCCACTGAGCCAAACCGGCTAGGGCGGCACTTTAAATTTTTTAAACTGTATGAAACCCATCAGAAATGACCATCATCCCAAAGTCAAGGTGAGGATGGTAAGTTCAACCAGAGTTAGTGACTTTTACAAGGACTCGCTTTAAAAGCAAAGGGGCTAGTATTCAGGCAGAGTGAACCTGTTTAGGGTCTGGATGCCAGCTCAGGGGACTTGCTTGTCTTTGGGTTCATTTGAGATTTAGTTGACATTTAGTTCCTATTGTGTACCAAGCACTGTTCAATGTGATGAATACAGCTGCAAACAAGACAGATAAAAAAATCCTTTCCTGCCGAAACCGGTTTGGCTCAATGGATAGAGCGTCGGCTTAGAAACTAAAGGGACCCGGGTTCGATTCCGGTCAAGGGCTTGTATCTTGGTTGTGGGCATGTCCCGAGTAGGGGGTGTGCAAGAGGCAGCTGATCGATGATGTCACATTGATGTTTCTCTCTATCTCTCTCCCTTCCTCTCTGTACAAAATCAATAAAATATATATTTTTAAAAATCCTTTCCTGATAGAATTTACATTCTACCGTGTTGGCAAGACCCTGGATCTCTATTTGTATCCTAAGATATTCAGCAAAATGCACCTATCCTAACACTCCTCTCAGACAGACAGATGTTTAATTCTGAGTGGCAAGCTGGTTGGAGACCTGACTTTGATTTGACCCTTAACATAAGCCTGGAGGGATTCTGAATTCAGACTTCCTCTTAATTTATGTTTTGATAAGAAGAGCTGGATTTATGCATTGTGGTTCAAGTTTTGATTCCACAATGATTCCCCAGGGGTGAGAGCCAGCTGTGCGTTTCTGGTGGAGTCCCTCTGCCTTGTCTTTGGTTCCGTGCAGGCTTGAGCAGCACCAGGCCAGAACCCGGCAAAGCAGCTGGCATAGGTTGGAAGTCCCATCAGTATTTAATCCGAATTCTATCTAAATGTGGGAATTCAAAGAATTCTTTATGTGGTAATCCCCACAGCAACCTACACTTCCTGTAACTTTTGTCTAACATTCTTTTTCATGCTGCCAGAAATATGATGGGATTTCCATGGAAATAGTTTTTCACTTTTAAAATATTTTAACAGACATTAATGGAATCACCCATAATTCTTGAAGCTCATAGACAGAATAGGGTAGGTGACAATTTCTCGGCACCTGTGGAAATACGAATACCTGGGCTAAAAGGCAGTTAGGCGCACGCTTACTTTGCAAAGATGGAAATCCTGGAGTAGCCTGCCATCTGCAGGATAACTTACCAACTAACCGTATACCAACCCCAGTAAAAAGTCGTAATGATCAATGGTGGAAAGCTAGGGTCCTTGTAATACATTTGCTAGGATTAAATATATTTAATAATTGCAGTTTTCTTTAAATAAAACTGCCCTTTCTTTACTGTGATTCTTTTCTTAAAAATTATTACTTCAATTAGATTATCTTTACCTGGACTCTTTTCTTGTGTTTAAGCGATTAAAAAACAAAACAAACAAAGCCACCTTCATTTTGCTGAGCATACCTGGGGACACCAAAAACAGCTTTGCAGCCACAGTCTGTGAAAAATATTGTAGCTTTGGAAACCCTGCTACTTCCTGGTAGGTTCTTTAATATGGATTAATGGCATTATTTAATAAATAAAACCAGCAATAGTCATCCATTCAGAGATGGAAGGCAGGGAGAGGGAGAGAACACAACACCCGTGTATTTTTTTTTTTTCTTTCTCATGTTTAATTGGCTGTTCCTTCCATTAGGTTGCACGATTTCCTTGGCTTAAAAAGCAATGAGTCATGCAGGGGAAAACGGGAATGACGCGGCGACTCAAGCACTTATTGGTGTGGACAAATAACACAAATTAATAAAAGGGCAGCATAAGTGAAATTAATAAAATTGGGTCAAAGGAATTACAACAGCGGGATGTAAAAAATAAAAATCAAGAAAAAGAGAACGCGGTGGCTCAGAAATGCACCATGTAAGGGGAGAGAAAAGTAAGAGGTATTTAAATAAGAGTGACAGAGAACAAATATTCATCCCAAATGAACGCACGTTCATCACGTTCCTTTCACAAAGTCGGGAACGGGCACTTTTCGAGCCTTTCTTTATTCGGGTGAACTAAGTCCATCTTTATCTGCTCCTCTTCCGCTGCACAGACCTGGGAAAGGACTTCAAGGTCAACTTCCTAGGACTTCCTCTGCGCGTCCCGCAACTTTGGGATCACGTGGGAAGCTTGAGCCAATGCCTAGCCTCGCTCCCGGGAATGAAATCCGAAAGTGTGGGGGGCATGGAGCTGTTTTAAAGCTTCCCGGTGTCTGCAGGTGCCTCCGCAGCGAAGAACCCACGGGAGTCTGAGCCCGAAGCTCCGCCTCGCCTCATCCGTCCCGAAGCCCCGCCCCTCATCCGTCCCGAAGCCCCGCCCCTCAGCCAGTTAGCCCCGCCCCGGCACCTCAGCCCCGCCCTCAGTCCCTCCACTCCCGCCCCTCCTCCAGTTAGCCCCGTCCCTCCTCCTGTTAGCCCCGCCCCTCCGCCCATAGCCCCGCCCATTAGCCCCTCCGCTCCGCCCCTAGTCCCGCCCCTCCGCCCGTTAGCCCCGCCCCGGAGAGCGGCGCTCCTTCTGTTTCGTTTGCGGCGGCGCGGCGTGAGTCTTCCCGGACGCTAGGGGGCAGACCGCGCGCACTCAGCTCCCGTCCTCCGTTCTCCAGCGCGCGGCCCTGTCTGTCCCTGCCTCGCGCATGCTCGATGTGTCCCGAGGTCGCCCTTGCCGGGTTCCCCACGTGCGGCGTGAACCCGAGGGCATCATGGTGTAAAGCGATGGGGGCCGCGGTGGTTCGCGCGATCAAGAACTTCAACCTGGAGAACCGGGCGGCCCGGGAGATCAGCAAGGCGAAGCCCTCGGCCGCCCCCAGGCACCCCTCCACCCGCAGCCTCCTGCGGGAGCAGATGAGCGGTGAGCGGCGCGGAGGCGCGGGGCCGGCTCGCGGCTCCCGGAGCGGGTGGTGGGCGGGGCCACGCGGGTGGGTGTGGGGCCGCGGCCGGGGGCCGGGGTGGCCGGGGGCCGGGGTGGCCGGGGGCCGGGGTGGCCGGGGGCCGGGGTGGCCGGGGGCCGGGGTGGCCGGGGGCCGGGGTGGCCGGGGGCCGGGGTGGCCGGGGGCCGGGGTGGCCGGGGGCCGGGGTGGCCGGGGTGGCCCGCAGTGGCTGGTCCCGCCGAGCGCAGGACGGTGCACCGCCAGGCCGGTGACATTGAGCCGGCCCCCTAGGCCCGCCTCGGGGTGGCGGCTCCGCACCACGCAGTCCCGGGGTGACAGCCCGCGGGTGCCCCTTCCTCGCCGGCCACTTGCTCCCGGGAATCCAAACCCAAAGGAACCCTGTGCAGCGGAAGTTTCCCGAAGGTGTCTTCGCACAACGGCATTTTCGTTTGCTTTAAAGTACTTTTTGTGCCAGGACTGGTTTGGCTCAGTGGGTATAGAGCGTCGGCCTGCGGACTGAAAGGTCCCAGGTTCGATTCCGGTCAAAGGCATGTACCTTGGTTGCGGGCACATCCCCTGTAGGGGGTGTGCAAGAGGCAGTGATTAATGTTTCTCTCTCATGGATATTTCTTTTTCTTTTTTTAAATGTATTTTATTGATTTTTTTTTACAGAGAGGAAGGGAGAGAGATAGATAGAAACGTTGATGAGAGAGAAACATCGACCAGCCGTCTCCTGCACACCCCCACCGGGGATGTGCCCGCAACCTATGTACATGCCCTTGACCGGAATCGAACCTGGGACCCTTCAATCTGCAGACCGACGCTCTACCACTGAGCTAAACCAGTTTCGGCTCTCATGGATATTTCTAACTCTTTCTCCCCCTCCATTCCTATCTGTAAAAAAATCAATAAAATATATTTTAAAATAATAAAATAAAATACTTTTTGTGCTGCTCCAGTGATTGTTTCTTAACACACATAGTGACTGACTGTCGCGTGTTAAATGTTTAGGGGCGTAGAGGGAATTCTTACTTGGTTTTAATTGTGTTGACATTCTTTTTCTTTTCCTTAGGCCAAGCGGATATTAAGGGAGAAATTGTTAGAAAGGATGACAAATTGCTGTCCTTACTGAGAGATGTGTACGTTAATTCCAGAGATCCCGTGTCTTCTGCACAGGTAATGTGTGTTTTAATTCAGTAAAGAATTTCACCTTTTTGGACTCCAGGAAAAGTGTGGCAGGTGGTAAAAGAGAGGGAGGTGCTCTGCAGATGTGAGCTGTCTGTGTGGGCGTGGCCAGAATGCAGTGTATTGGCCAAGTTTAAACGCTGTGGTCCAAGCAAGACACACGGGCCTCAGTGCATTGGGTATTTACCAAGATTCCAAAAGATTTGTGAAGCTATCGACTGAATGCAACTGTGTGAATTGTATTGTTTCAGAATTTGTAAGATTTGGCAAGGTACGTCTATTGATTGTCATTTGAATGACCAAAGGAGAGATTTAATGCTGTTTTCTTGTCCAGCTTACATGGCTCAGTGGTTGAGCTTTGACCCATGAACCAAGAGGTCACAGTTGGATTCCGTATCAGGGCACCCGCCTGGGTTTCGGGCTCTATCCCCAGTAGGAGATGTGCAGGAGGCTGCCGATCAATGATTCTTAGCATTGATGTTTCTATCTCTCCCTCTCCCTTCCTCTCTGAAATCAGTGAAAATATATTTATTGATTTACCTTTCAGTGTATTGAGATATGTTCTAATTTCAGGGATTCTTTTAGTGGTGGATTGGTAGTGTTTGTTTGATATTTAAGGATATATTCAGATAGGATACATAGAAGAATACATTGAGAATGGGAACTTATCTCTAAATCCACATATAAATGCCAGATATAAGTTCTTTGAATATAGTGATGAACAAAATAGACCTAGTCCTTCTTCTCACGGTGCTCATATTATCGGGAGGAACACATGAGCACATAAACAGATGAGCAACTATGGTACCTAATTACTGATAGGAAGGAGACATAGGCACTGTGAGTGTATCAGGAGGACTTGTTTGAGACTGGAGCATCAGGGATGGTTTCTGAGGAAGTGGCATGCAGGCTGAGGCCTGAGGGGTGCATGGGAGTTTGTGGGGGCAGGAAGGGCCTAAGCAAGGGGAAGAGTTTGATTAAAGAAGTGGCAAATGCCAGTGACAGCTTCCAGAATTTTTCCCATTCTAAAATTCTCTTGTTCTGTCTCTCTCTCTGGATAGGTAATAGACTGACAAAGATATAGTTAATAGTATAATTTTCCATAGAAAAGAAAAATAAGGCTCATGTGTACAATAAAGTTTGTACATTATTACATGTAGTAGAAATTACAGGGTTTAGGTATCACCAAATGCTCACAAAAAAGATAATAGGAATTGATGTTCATGCTCTTTGTTATTTTTAGGCAGGTATTGTATAATACTCCCATAAATGTTCTTTCTCGCATGTTAAATCATGCATTTGAAAATTAGCTTTTGGAGAGCAAAAAAAAAAAAAAAATGATTTTACATGTAAAGCACGACATATAGATACAATGCATGAAGAGATATGTGGTATTAAAATTTAAAGGGGTTATTAGGAAAGTCTAAAAAGATTCAAGAGAGAGTAATTAATAAAAGGTTGAAGGTACCTATTTATGTTCTTTGTCCCTTTTTTCTTTTCAGCAATTCATTTGTGATGTCTCTAAACATCAATGATACTGTGCCTATCATATATCATAATTATTTTTAAATTAATTGTTTTTTTACATAGAGAGAGGAAGGGAGAGGGAGAAACACTGATGTGAGAGAGAAACATAGATGGAACGCCAGGGTTTAATATGGATAGTTTTGAGAGTGGGTTAGGAGAGAACAAAATGTGTTTTATCGTTAGAGAATACCAGTTAAGAGGCTTTTGCAGTAATTTCTTCAAGAGACATTGGCTTGGACTAAGGTGATTTAGTAACTAGGAGAGAAATGAATAGCTTTGAGAGGGATTTAGGAGGCAGTATCAACAGGATTTGGTCACTGATTGGATATTTATGAGTGAGGGAGAGGGAGGTGTCAGGTATAAGGTGACAAGAGAAGCTTTGAATTTTGGTATGGGATATGGGAAGTAGGTGGTGTTAGTCAATAAGACAGAGAATATGGGGCTAGAATTAGGTTTTCAGAGGAAAGGGATAAATTCAATTTTAAACATGTTAATTTTGAGGCGCTTGTAGATTATCTGAGTAAAGATGCCCATTAGGCATTTGGGAATTTGGGTCTGGAAATAGGAGAAAGTCTAGGTTAGAGGTCACATTTGAAAGTTATTAACATGTAGGTAGTAATGAAACTGAATGTGGCATGTGGGATTACTTAGGAAGAGGAATAGAGTATAGGGTGAAAAGAGGGCCCACCAGGACTTGGGGCCCACTAACATGTAAGGGGCAGCTGAAGGGAAGGGGTCCACAAAGAAGACAAAGAAGGAACCACTGGGTTTATGGATGTTTTTAAAGGTGACTACAGCATTTTTTAAAAATATATAGTATATATTTTACTGGTTTTTTACAGAGAGGAAGAGGGACAGAGAGTTAAAAACATCAATGAGAGAGAAACATTGACCAGCTGCCTCCTGCACAACCCCCACTGGGGATGTGCCTGCAACCAAGGTACATGCGCTTGACTGGAATCAAACCTGGGACCCTTCAGTCCGCAGGCCGACGCTCTATCTACTAAGCCAAACCAGCTTTGGCGACTACAGCATTTTTACATTTGGACCAAACAGCAGCATTAGGCAGGATACAGGTGAAAGCAAGAGGAAAAATCGGAATGAACGATTGGTAGAGTAGGTAACAGGAATGAAATACAGAGCACAAATTCAAGGATTAAACTTGGATGGTACAGTAAACCTTTAATTTTTCGAGCCCCAACTTAATGGATTAAATTTCTAGTCTATACATCATGTGAAGATTAATATCCTGTTAATTTTAAAATGCTTTTAACCAACATTTACTTATAATTAAATTAATAGGCTATTTTATTGTTGTTTTGAATTCACTGTTATTTTTAACAAATTTTAGAGAAAAGGCCATATGCTGGAAAAAGCACCATAGTAATTTCACTGACATAAATAAATATTACATACCTGCAACTATAGTCTACATATTTAAATCCAAGAGTCACAACTCGGTGAATAATCACACTTCATCACTGGAGGTATATGGTTCCAGTGGCATGACTTTCTGCAGCAGTTGTAAGGAGTGAATGAAGGCTGATGTTCCCATGTGAGCTAAACCAGCCCCAGCTGTATGCATTTGTTTACTCAAGGTGACTGGTTAATGTACACATTTACTACACCCCTATTCAGTATAAATTTAAAATTATAGTAGTACATATAAAAAACTTCGCTGTGAAATTAAACTTTTCATACATACTTAATTTAAATTACACATGTCTACATAAGTAAAAATAGGTAAATTAATTTGTCAATTTTTTAACATACGTATTCAGAAAACCTACTTTACTGTATAATGGATTTTCAGCTTTAACAGACATCTCCTTGCCCAAATTAGTCTGTTATATCGAGGTTTTACTGTACAGACAGGTGAAAAGATGGGTGTGCATATAATGTTTTATTTATGTTTGTTGGAGTATTAGAAATGCTTGTTTATTTTCTCTGAAGAGGGAAAATCTCTAGCAATATTTAAATTCATTCCTGGTGTTTGAGGCATTGAATTTGAAATGCAAAACTTAGAATCAGGATGGAGATCATCAAGTAAACTTAGGGCATTGTCAGAGTCCTGCCTTTCTAAAGCAGTCTTAACCTGATCCAATTGTTGTTCTTTTAATATATAAATGAAATATTGGGAATAGATGGTATACATTCGAGTATTACTTTCTAGAATTCATGATGGTTGAGCTATAGTGATTAAATGGTGATGTGATTGCCATTGAACTTGGCTTGTCATAATGAGAAAATGTAGTTTGGAGAACATGTGTAGTACTTATTTGAAGAAGAATAGTGGAGGTTTGAGAAACATGTCTGCAAATGTCAAATCTTTTCTGTCATCTTGAAAGCCTTTTTGTTGTTTTTGTCTTTTGATACCAGGACAAAGATGCTAGAACACCTACAGAGCCAAAGGAGTTCAGATTGCCGAAAGGCAATCATTTTGACATAAATATTGAGAACATTCCCAAAGGCAAAGTTTCCATTGTAGAGGCTTTGACACTTCTCAATAATCATAAACTTTCTCCAGATACATGGACTGCTGAGAAAATAGCAGAAGAATACCATCTAGAACAGAAAGACGTAAATTCTGTTCTCAAATACTTCACTACTTTTGAAGTCAAAATCTTACCTTCTGAAGACAAGAAAGCAATTCAATCAAAATGAAGGAACTCTTGGAATTAACTTTTCCTGTCCCATGCCCTGTTTATTTTCTCATTTTTAGCATATTAAATTGTGTAAATTACTGAATGTTTAAAGCTCCCGTCTTATGAGTGCATCCTATTTATTGACCTCCGCTGATAGAATAAATTTTGTTTCAACTTTAATTTAGTTTAGGCATATATACGGGTGTAATATAAGCATGACTAACTATCAGGTTTATAAATTTATTTCAAATAAAAGAGTTAATTTTAAGTGTTATTAAGCATATCAGCATTTAAGTTGGTCATATGACCTCTTAGGAAATGTCCTGATTCCCTTATTTGACACTTAAAGTTAAACTTTCCAATTTAGGTGGTTATTTTATTCTTCCTATGGCATAGTCAAAGTAAGCTTTCCTAACACTTATGACTGACATTTCCTTGTTAGGGAAAGGGAGGCTTGACAGTGAGGTGAGGTAGAACAGTATTTCCCATTTAAAGGCAGACAGGAAACTGGATATAAAACCAATAGAAAATACATTTTTATTACTACAGGGAATAAGGATTAGTAAGGCCTTTTTTAAATTTTGTTTTGAAATATCTTAAAAGTATAAAAAAGAATTAGTGTTTTAAAATTTTAGCAAATCTGTACTTTGAAAGCAAACAGGCAAGTCCAAGAGCCTTCATAGAGGCAGGCAGTAGTGGAAGCTATCCGAAAAAAATAACGTTCTCTAGATTTACTGTAAAAATTCAAGAAAATTTTAAAGAAGAACCATGATAAATTTGGTTACCAAATATACATATTTTCTAATTTAAATTCTGGTAGAAAAAAAATAGCAAGTAGAAGCATATGATCATTGGAATGTGATCATTGGAAGGGACCTGGGAAATGCTGCATTTAACAAATTTATGAGCACAACAGTACTAGGGTCTTCGGCAAAACTGTTCAAGTCCAACTCTGTTATGTTACTACCTGTGAGATTTTGTCTGGATTGTGTAACCTCTTAGAGAATGAATTTCCTCTAAAAATTATTGTAATGCTATCTTACTTAACCAAGGATTACTGTGAAGATAAAAATAACAAGTATGGCTTTCCTTTGCAGTTCAGAACAGAGACCTAAGTAAGTTTCATGACCTATTTACAGTTATGACATAGGCTTAGAATTTAGGTTTTCAAAATTATACTGTTATATTTTTCTGCTGTGCCAATAAGAAGCATATCTCAAAAGGGCAGAAGGTGTATATGGGGGAATATGGTAAGAAAATTCCAGATTATCACTGTCTTTCTGAAGGAAGATAGACATTCATTACTTCCTAGGAAGTCTCTTGGAAATAGTATAAGAGACGCTGAGGCCTACAGCATGATGAGGGAATTAGGCATTTTTAATACTAAGAGCAAAATTGACTGAGATGGGAATTTTAAGCATGTTTTCAAATGCAGTTTCATTATGTGACTAGACCTAATTTATATTTAATTAAAAAACTATTTTTAAGAAAAGAATTCAGTATAAAATTAAATTTTAAAACTGGTAAATCAGTCATCAAAACTGCTATCCTTTATCAAATAAAGATCAATACTTGAATCACTAATACTGCTATTTCTGAGCCATTTTTCCTATTCAAATCTATACTGTGGTTGGGCGGCTGTAAAAATGTGGCTGTTATGTGGTGTCACATGTTAAAATAAAGTACTTCCCATATCATTCATTGGCCTATTCCTGTTTTTTATTACATACTAGTAGCTCTGCGTATGAGTCCGTGTGCCAGTAGTTCGCTGCCTGCTGCCCGGTCCTCCTGTGTCTCCCCCTGCCCCCCCCCCCCCTCATAGTTTGTTGCCCTGCCCCCTCCTGTAGCTCTCTGCTGCCTGCCTGTAGCTCGCTGTGCCACCCTCCTGCTGATCTGTGATCCAGTCAATAATGCAATTGGTCATTATGCTTCACAGCATAAGGACCATTTGCATATTACATCTTTATTATGTAGCTTAGGAGAGTGTTTGGGTGGTAGTGGTATCACAGAAAGAGGAGTTAGACCCAGAAAACCTGCCTATAGATCTCGGCAACACCACTAGCCATGTGATTGTGGAAATGTCCTTGACTGTAAAACAGGTAATACTTGCTAACATCTTAAAGGCAACTCTTGTACTAGGCACTGATCTATGCACGTTATATGTATTAGCTTGCTTAATATTTACCAGGTCGAGGATAAGTACTGTAAACCACATTTTATAGGGAAAATTAAAACATGGAGATCTAAAGTAACCTTTCAAAGCTACCCTCGTAAGTATTGGAACATGCATTTAAATTCGAGTATGATGATTTTCAACTCTTTTTCATCTCATGGCACATATAATCTATTAAATTCTATGGCAAACCAAAAAAATACATTTTTCTTCCTGATCAGAAGAAAAATTGGTTTAAGTTTGATTGCTTTACAGAAATAAGAGTACCTACCATTTTTGCTCCAAAGTGACTTTAAAAATCAGGTGCCAACTTATACCATACACAAAAATAAATGGATAAAGGACTTAAACATCAGGAAATCATAAAAATCTTAGAGAAATCCATAGGCAGCAAAATCTCAGACATATGCCAAACCAATATCTTTACTGATACAGCTCCTAGGGCAATGGAAACTAAAGAGAAAATAAATAAATGGGACTATATCAAAATAAAAAGCTGCACAGCAAAAGAAACAATAAAACAACAAGAAAGCTCACTGCATGGGAGAACATATTTACCAATGTTATCTCTGATAAGGGCTTAAATCTCCAACATTTACAGGGAACTACAACTTAACAAATGGAAGATAAACCAATCAAAAAATGGGCAATGTACCTAAATAAATACTTTTTGAAAGAGGACATACAGAAGTCCAAGGGGCATAAAAACATGCTCAAAGTCACTAATCATCCAAGAGATGCAAATCACAACAATGAGGTACCACCTCACACCTGTCAGAATGGCTATCATCAACAAAACAAATGACAGGTGCTGGCGAGGATGCGGATAAAAAGAAAACATTGTGCACTGCTGGTAGGAATGCAGACTGGTGCAGCAACCGTGGAGAACAGTATGGAGTTTCCTCAAAAAACAAAATGAACTCACATTTGACTCAGTGATCCCACTTCTAAGAATATATCCCAAGAAACTAGAAACACCAATCAGAAAGGATATATGCATCTCTATTTTCATAACAGCACAATTTACAATAGTTAAGATTTAGAAACAGCCTAAGTGCCCATCAGCAGATGAGTGGATTAGGAAACTGTGGTACATCTACACAATGAAATACTATGCTGCTGTAAAAAGGAACTCCTACCATTTGCAACAGCAAAGATGGACCTGGAGAGCATTATGTTAAGCAAAATAAGTCAGTCAGAAAAGGATAAATATCACATGATCTCACTCATTTGTGGAATATAATGAACAACATAAACTGATTAACAAAAACAGACAGAAGCATCAATCAGATCATCAAACCTCAGAGGGAAGGCAGAGGAGGATGGGGGTAAAGGGAAGATCAACCAAAGGACTTGAATGCATGCATATAAGCCTAACCAATGGACACAGACACTAGGGGTATGAGGGCATCAGCAGGGAGGTAGGGGGTGGACAATGGAGGGTTAAGGACACATATGTAATACCTTAAACAATAAAGAAAAAAATTAATAAAGAATTTTAACACTCTTCAAATAAATTTTAAAAAAGCAGGTGCCTATACTTGTATATGAAAATTTCTGATACCAAGAATTAATCAGATGCAATCTTATTATGCAATGTGACCAGTAAAATGCAGCTCTATTACATCACCTGTATGTTTACGGTTCAAGACACGGCATTCACACTGGATGGCTATTGTATTGGCTGTTGTCACATTTTTTATTTGACAATCTAAAGCAAGAGTTTAGTACCCCTGACTAAATAGTCAGGTATTACATGTTTTAAAAATTCTTGCAGCATACTGGTTGAAAATTGTATCCATAGTAGGTTATTTTTAAAACCTTGTGCTTCTAACTACTACACACTATATTGCCTCCCTGAGATTATAATGATTAAGTGAGATGACATGTGAGGTGCCTGGTCCGTGTGGAGCCAGGACTACACAGTGACTTCTGTGAGACTCACCCGTGGTTCCCTGTCTGCCGTGATGGACTGGCTTGTAAGTCTGAGACTCCTTTGTCGATGGGCTCTGGGCCAGGGATGGTTTTAGAATAGTTAATTATGATGGCACCAGACTACCCAAACAATGTATGCTGACCCTCTGTGCAGGTTGCATATCAGTATTGTCTGGGTCTAAAGTTTACTTTCTGCATCATAAAGAGAAGGAAAAAATAAGTCCTGGAGATGAAGATTTGGGGTCAGCAAGGTCCAGAGAGGAGGAAAGGAGGTCAATCATAAAGTAGGCAGAACAGGGATCCAGGAAGCTGATAAAGGAAAAGCAGCCCAAGTGGGTGAATTTGGCAAAGTTCTAACATAAACAGGGCCACCATATAATGTATTGCCCAAACAGGGACACTTGAGAGTGATAATGGATCAATTATATTAGGACAACAGGGACAATAGCATGAACTGGAATGTCTTGAACAAACTAGGCAGTATGGTCACCCTAACCACAAAGACAATAATGGAGGTCTTGAAGGCCACTTGGGATCTGCATGCAACCCTCTTATCTCCATCAACACTGAATGTTCAGAAATGAGCCGTCTGTCCAAATTTATGAATGAATATCCCCTCCTCCATATTTCTCCACGCCTTTAAACACCAAGAAAAGGAGGGTGAATCCCTGAACAATCAGTGGTGTGATGAGAAAGCTTCTGTACTCATATTAGGACAGTTTGAACTGAAGTGGCTCAAAGTATGCTGAACTGGGATTATGCTAAAGACAGCTCGTGCACAAGCAGAACATGTATAGGAAATGAGCATGTTAAAGGATTAAAATGGTTTGATGCATCTGGAATAGCTATCACTTATTGCTTGATAGCTGCTCCTATCTTACTAAACAGGATTGGATTACTTGTTAGGAGAAATGATGAAATATTAGATCTAAATCCCTATATGAAAACCAAAGCTTTACTTTCAGAGCTTTTGGGTCACTAATTCCAGGGCTCTTCTCTGTGTGCCATTGTCACTGCTCTAACAATAGAACTATGTCTTGGGAGCACAGATGCATAGAATTGGAGAAGAGAGGCTAACCAGTTAGAAGAACAGGATCCTGAGCAGAGATGAAGTTGTGTAATTTTTAATGTAATGATGATAAGTAGGTAATATTAAAATTGCTTCCTGCGAGGAAAAAGGCAACACATTGGTCATTATAAAGATTAATAATTTTGGGACAAGAGTTTAGTCAAAATAGGTTAGCTAGTACTTGGGACTTGAGAAGTAATCCCTGAGATGAAAGAAAATAGATTAACAGTGTAAAGTCTTGATGAGCAGGAACATTTCTTGGTTGGATGAGAGACCATAGCTCAGAAAGTTGTCTGACTTTGAGAAAGGAAAGCCACAACAGTGCCATCTGACTGACAATGAACTCTGCTTATGGTTCTGAAGCAACTATAATAAAATAAAAGGATTTATGTGTGGGATTGATTACTGACATTAACATCTGGAAATAGAGGGGACACTGAAGTAAATATAAACAATATTCATTTCTAAAATAAAGTCTCAGGTCATTTTCTTATTCCAGAAGGATAATTATTGATTAAGTTTAATGCATA